CATCAAACAAAGCAAAACTGACCAACTGAAACACGGCCATTCAATCTTCATCTTCAATTTGCCAACCCCCATCCAACCATATCAGTCCATAGCCCTTTTTCTTCACCAGAGGAAATCCCAAATTACCTCTTCTCTTGACCCTCTTTTTACCGATGATAAAAACCTTCCTGCCTCCAGACATTGGTTCCAAAATAACCTCAAAGCCATCCTCAGCAGATCCGGCATCCCAACTAAACATTTTTCTTCCCATTCGTTCCGCATTGGGGCAGTCACCACAGCAGCACAGAGGGGACTTTCCGAACACCAAATCAAAATGCTGGGCCGATGGACGTCTCATACCTTCGAAACATACATTCGTTCTGATCTTCACCACATTAGACAAGCTCACCAAACACTAGCATCTTTCTGAGTCCGGACCGCATCCCCCCTACTATTCCGCGCATTTCTGCTTACTTAGTCCCGCAGGGCCCCTATTTCATCCGGATGCAGCGAGAGCTCCCCCTTTTCGAATTGGTGTGAGCTACCACTCCTGGAATGGGCTCTCCCATTCGAATCGCCGCGTGGGTTCCCCATCCAGATGCCGTCCAGGCTCTCCCATTCGAATCGCAGTGAGGGCTCTCCCGTTTGATTGCGATTGAGATCTCCTTTGATACATATAGGGAGCTCTCTCCTTCAAATGCGCGGGAGCTCTCCCGGTCGAATCGCAGTGTGAGCTTTCTGTTCGGGCGCAGTGGGGGCTCCCCCTTTCCGAATCGCCATGTGATCCTCCATGTTATTAACTATGGGGGCTCTCCCGTTGATACTCCCGCAGGAGTAATTCCAGGAAAGTCACTGCCGCAGCAGTGCAGCAGTAAGATGCTCTTTAATTAAAGTTCCAAAGCCCCATCTCTCACCATCATCATTAGTATAGCTTAAAAATTTCACTCCTTTTGGGGGGGTATCACCATTATTCTTCAAGTACTTGGGTATCCCGTATACTTAAACCCTCAGATATGTTGATCTCGCTAAACTCAACTTGCTGTCCCAAATTTATTTCTGCACTTTTGGGGGGTATATCAGAGCTCGAGTTGAAGCTGCTTCATCGAGCCCCTCACCAGGGGACAGCAAGCCATATAAGTTTACACACAAATTCCTTAAAGATTATATGGGCAAACGAACTCATTAAATGAAGTTCCTTAACGTAAGTTAGGGAGGAGCGAGCCCATCTAATCTTTCAATCAACAGCCAGAGTATATAAGCAGCTGCTTACCTCTCTCCAGTCGCAGCTGTTCCAGCATCCCTCCACCTCCCCAAAACTCCACCTTCATCTTAGGTACCTTGCCCTTCGTAATCATCCTATATCAAGTCCCTGGGGGTATATCAGAGCTCGAGTTGAAGCTGCTTCATCGAGCCCCTCACCAGGGGACAGCAAGCCATATAAGTTTACACACAAATTCCTTAAAGATTATATGGGCAAACAAACTCGTTAAATATCCAGAATTCATTGTCAGTGAGGTGTAGCTAGCTAGTAACCAATAACTTACATTCTGATGGTATGTCCCTAGTGAAAAATAAATATACTAAAATGTATTTGAAATACATTTATTTCATGCTAAGTATACTACAAAGACATTTACATATTTATGTACTTAATAAAAATATAAGAAAAAATTACTCCTCATCATCCTGTTCAAAAGATTACACCCCCCGGCTCTTAATGCATCGTGTTGCCTTCTTGAGCATCAGTAAATGTTTTCACCTTTTGTAATTGTTATGTATGAATCCCTCAACTGTCCTTAGAGTGAAAAGGTGGATCTCAAAATCATACAGTCACTGATGGAAAGGGTTCAGATATGCAGAAAATGCTGGAAAACCAAAGAATGTGCAGAAGCTGGAGGATTTTTCTGAAGAACAACAGGCAGTGGAACTGCTCAGGACCAACACGGGACTCCTGAACAACTATCACAAAACATAAAAACAGTCGTGGATCATCCAAGAAATTACGCACAGTATTAAGATTTAAGGGTATGTAAACGTTTGAATGGGGTCATTTTTATAAATAAAGTTATTATTTTGTCTTGTGCAGTATATATAAACATCTGTTATGTGAAATAGCTTATTCAAGACAGTACTAAATATAAAAATAACATGCAATTTTTATGATCCCTTTTATTTTGTTAAAATTATGAACATTTTGCATATTCTGCAAAGGGTATGTAAACTTATGTGCACAACTGTATATCATCCAGTTACTACAACTTTACTTGCAAAGAAAGTCAAAGGGGTCTAAATGAGGTTTGAGTGAGGGGTCTTTTGATATTTTGACACACATTCTTCAAAAAATTTAAAAATATTGTGTTTTTCACATTGTGTTATTTGTGTTAACCATCAAATAGCATGTGTTAAATAGTTTTGTCTTACTGTTAATCAGCACGCCCTGCAGACTGAACTGCACGGCAACAGCTGTCTACACTGTTTAAATCAGAAGTGCAGTGTCTCGAGAAACGTCTTTAAAAGTTTAACTTCTTTACACTTAATGCATTAAAAGCTCCCCACCCCAGTTCTGTTCCAATCTTATACTGTATGCAACTTCACAATTATAATGCACATAATCGCTATTTCAAGTTAAATTAAGCTAAAAACATTAATATCGATAAACACTATTTAAAATTCACATAAACAGCATCTTCTCCTGAAATCCCCAGTGGTGATCCATTACACATTGTTTGGCATGCTTCTTGAGTGTGGAAGAGAGCTCTGTCCCCACCTACATTTCCTTGAAAATTGAACCTGCACGTTACTAGTCTGACTCCCTAACCATTAGGCCACAACTGCCCCTATGTAATTGAACCTTCCCTTAATTATTCATCACTTTAACAGTGAAGGAAGTGCTCTTTGTATGCTTATCTCTCTGTTCTGCTGTCATTGTGTTCATATATGTCTTTACAGATGTTGGAACGTAACTGGTTGACCATTAGAGATGAAGCACTGTCAGTGTTAGATAGCAACAGTGGGCAGTTCTTGCCTGAAGATGAAAATCTGAGAGAGACAGGAGACTGGGGCCAGTTTACACTGTGGCAGCAGGGTAAAATATATAATTAATATATAATATCCACCAACATGTACCTTACATTTACCAACAAATTCCTTATATAATTACACTGGATATACATCCATCCATTTTTCAACTGCTTGTCCTATGTAGGGTCACAGGGATGATAGCGCCTAACTTGGGATTTTTGTTTTTAGTGGTTTTTACTTCTTTAAGTTGTAGTCACATTTACCGTTGCTGTGCAAAATTTTGCATCCAAAATACCAATATTCCAATAGGAATCTGTGCGATCAGGAGTGAATTCACAGCATTGACCACTGAAAACCTGCTTAATTTAACACTAACCGCCACGGGGTAAATTTTACCCGTGGCTGTTTTTCAAATGTACATAGCCTAACAGATATTAAATATCCCAGTCATTGACTTTTACTAAAATTATGTAATTTGCAATCCAATGTTGTTAAAAATTATTTAGATAAAACCAGATCAAAAAACGGGGCATTTATACCTATAAGCAGAGGCGGGTCACATTTACCCGCTAAATAATGCATGTATTTTCGCGCTGTCATTTTCTTGCTGCTTATGTTTTAACATTGTACATTTCTAAGCTACACCTTTCACTCACTGATTTAGCGGTTATGAGTTTCATAAATAAAGTCAAAATAAAGGCGATTTATGGAAGCAGAAGCTAGAAGTTTAGTTAGAAACACTAAATGCCATGAGTGATGGAGAGTCTGATGGTAAGTTATGCGTCCTGGGTCGGCTCAGCATCTGACGGCTCATCTGACAGTGATCTAGATATTATATTTACATGTTTTAGCCTCCGGTTACTCTAATTGGTCAAACTTTGGTTTAATTATTTAATTTTTGTCTTTCCATATCGTTTATTGTTCGCTACTGTTTTGCTATTCTAGTCTGGCCGTTTCCTGAATAAAAAAAAATCAGATCTATGATGTAATGAATAAAACCATTTTTTTGATTACCCAAATTTTAATGGTGTTGTTCTCTTATTAAATTATAAATGATAGAACTAAACAAATTAATAAATATTTAGGTGAAGCTGTGCACTTGAATTTTTCATCGCATCATCCTATGCAGTGTGGTGAATTATTATTGCTCATTATTACCAATACCTTCTAATTTCCATTGTCAGTGCAGACTTTTTTTTTTTTTTTAGCTTAGGCAACTGACCATTATGGATTAGTGTAGCCTGCATTAAAAAGTCTTGGACATAAAACAACAGGATAAAAATATAATTGATGACTAGACACAATCATTTCATGACTCTAGACACTTCTTTGTGAAGACAGTAGCATAACACAGTGAAATAATATGTTCTTTAGCCATATAAATACAGTTGCCATGTGCGTGGGTAAAATTTACCCTCTGGCACTTTTAGGTTTACACTTTGTGAACAGTTCTTAATACATCTCTATGCTATGTACAATACACAATTAACCTTTTTTGATTGTGCAATTTCTCTGCAATTAAGCTAATGTGACCACAACTTAATTCAGGAAATAGCAAAAAAAAAAAAAAAAAAAGCAAATTTTTTTTAATTGAGAAAATAATTTTACGTGTAATCCACATGTTTTTTCAGCTACAAGTGAAAACAGAGTCACTTCCTTTAGCCACCTAGTGTGAATTTCTTTGAATTTGCTTGTCTTAGGTGGTGTTACAGCGTTTTTCTGTATCTAATACTGAGACACTTTTGGGGAAGACACATAATGTGTATACAAGTTTTACTCTTTCTCATGTCGAAAGGTTGCTTCTTCATGTCGCTATGTCCCAAAAACCTGTGCTTTGCTGGAACATTACCCAGAGGCCACTAGCTGCAAAAGAGGCCAGGTCAGTCCCCAAAAATCAGTTATAGCTAAGTTCCTCTTGCCTAGCTGTACTTTTAATTTAGTTTCACCATGTCTCCTTTTTACAATGCTTATTTCTGTTTATTAACTGTTGCCTAATTATTTAAATCTTCCTTTTTTTAGATAAAATTTTCAGTAATGCAAGCTGGTAGTCATGTATGGCCTCACACTGGTCCCACCAACTGTCGTCTACGAATGCATCTAGGCCTCATCATCCCTTCTAAGGGATGCAGGATTCGCTGTACAAACCAAACAAGGTCAGTTAAATCATAGAAACACAAGTTTACACTCATTGAGTAAAACTGCATTGATTACAAAACTTTTAAAATGTTTCAGGGAACACTATTGACAGCTCCATTTCCACTCCAACTTGGTTACAGGGTTTTAAAGGGGTCATATGATGCAATTTCAAAATTTCCTTTCTCTTTGGAGTGTTACAAGCTGTTCGTGCATAGAGAAGATCCCTAAAGTTGCAAAGACTAAAGTCTCAAACCCAAAGAGATTTTTAAAAAAGTTAAGACTTGTCCACGCCCTCCTAAAACGCCTCGTTGAAACATGCCCCCACATGTCTCTATATCACTACGTGGGAAGATTTGCATAACACCGCCCAAATGTACATGCAAAGAAAGAAGGCATAACTTTTATTTTCGCTGTAGTATTGTTGTTGCCGCCGCCGCCGCATGCCTAGAGCATGTTTCCTTGTGCTGGTCGCTGAGGAAATACATCAACTTCGCGCTGTGGATCGCCGGATCAGCTTTCACCGCGGACGAAGCGCAGTCCAGCCCAGGGTCGTCACATGTGGTTGCCGCAAGCCAGCCGGCCGCTCCTCACCCAAGCCCGCTGTGTGTTTCATTGTGAAAGTGAAACTACTTTGTTTGGCCTTCCAAAAGAGGACACAACTAGAAATCAGTGGTTAAGTTGTATTTACAACACTGTTCCAGAACAGTTCAACCCAAATATTCAGATGTGTGCAGCGCATTTTGTGGAAGACTGTTTCCTGAACCTGCAGAGTAGCCTACTATGCCTATTATGTCCCCACTGGATGCAACAAATGCCTAGTTTGTAATGGGTTTTATTGGTGTTGTCTCATCGCGCCGGGGCACGGCATCACAGTAAGGTAAGGGGCGTAACATTTCTGTCACGCACTTGAGGAATTCGGCCAATCACAACGCACTGGATAGCTGGCCAATCAACGTACACTTCACTTTTCAGAAAGATGAGCTTTGTAAAAATCAACGCTTTTCAGAAAGGCGGGGCATAGAGGAGCAACAATAATGTACATTATGTGGAAAATAATGTGTTTTTTTAACCTTAAACCGCATAAACACATTGCATTACACCAAATACACGACATAATGTTCTTTTTAGCAACATCATATGACCCCTTTAAATTAACACTTGGCAAGCATCAAATGTGAATAAAATTGGCGAGTAGACAAACCTTGGATAGTTGGCCTATTTTATATTGTTTGATTGATTGATTGATTGATTGATTGATTGATTGATTGATTGATTGATTGGGGATTAATATGTGGCATGGCTTTTATTAATTAAAAATTGATTCAGTGAATGTTGATTCTCTTTCAGGGAGTGAGAAGAAGGAAAAGTGTTAATATTTGACGACTCATTCGAGCATGAAGTCTGGCAGGAAGCAGAAAGCTACAGACTCATCTTCATTGTGGATGTCTGGCACCCAGAACTCACCCAATTACTGAGGCAGACTCTGTCACCAATATAGAAGATTTGTCCAAAAACGTGAGTTTTGAAAAGTAGGTCGACAGCCAATCGGAGTGACAGATTTACTGTTCTAAGCCAATCACAGATTTCATAAATCACAAATATTGTCACAATGTCTGGTTGTGGTGTCCTGAACTGGCCACTTGAGGGCACTCTCCCGTTTTTATGTTATATGTGTTGAACTCCATTTCCCATAGTCCCTTGCTTGTCATTCTGTCTGATCATGAGCACCTGGCTATCAGTTCCGATCATTTTCACCTGTTAGTCATTTACTCTTTATGCCATCTATATATACCATGCTCACTCTGTCTGTCACTGCTGCTATATTGTATTTGTCTTCCCATGTCTTCTTGATGTTATCTGGAGTTCACCACATATAACATAAAAACGGGAGAGTGCCCTCAAGTGGCCAGTCCAGGGCACCACAACCAGACACTGTGACAAATATTAATTGTGCTGTCCTGTGGTGCAGATTACAAGGGAATGTGAATGTATAAGTCTTATGATTGATAGTTGTAAATAATATGTGATTTATGAAGAACATAGAGGATGGATTTAGAAGTTCAAGGGTTTTAAATGGATGGCCTATGTAACTTTATGTTACGTTAAATTTGGATATTCTACTTGTGGGAAGAAAATGTTAGTTGAATGTGTTATCAGTAGATGTGGTTACCTCTGGGTGTAGGTAAGGTTGTGTGTGTGTTAATGGTGTAGTGTATGTGTGGTCAGATCTGTTTCAGTCTGTGTTGTCTCCCCCCTTTTCTTGTATGTCAGTGAAGACGGGCTCTCTGCATCCTTGGCTTAGATGAGGGCGTGTCCATGATCTAATGGGGGTCAGTCCAGCAAGGCAGGAAGTTCTTTAGCAGACAGTCGGAGCTACCAGCTGCCTTCTGGTTGTGGCAGACTTTCTGACCTTCTGTGCTTGGGTGGTTGCTGTTGCACAGACAGGAATGTGGTTCTTGGAGTTGGAGTTAACTTGACAGTTTGTTAGTGAGCGGTGGGTGACTGAGGTGATGTTCTTTGGTACCTCAGAGTTTTCATCAACAGTTGGCCGTGAGAGACTTGCTCGTTCTGGGTGGTTGTTGAACAGGTGCTTGTCATCTCTGATGTGGTGTACCAGGTGATCACCGGCCTTCTGTTCTGTCACTGGTCACAGTGAGCATGACTCAACTTTGTGGTCATCCATGTTCAGCTTTTCTTGAAGGAACTCTTTCATTTGTCTCATGACTTGTTCCATGTCGTCTGAGGGTAAGCTGTCTTGCTCTTCTGCATACTCAGCACTGTGCATGTCTGAGTGGTACTGAGTTGGGTTTTGTTGTCGCTTACTCACACAAGTTGTTCTTGGATGAGTCAGGCGATTACCTTTGGATTTCTGGTTAGGTTTCCAGTTGTTCCTATCTTTTGAGTTTCTTGAGAAGCGTGGCTGTTCCCATGGATTTTTCCAGCGGCTGGGCTTGTAACTATCGTGGGCGTGGGGGTCACGTTCTCTGTGCTCTTGATGGAAGACTCTGTTTCGTACCTCAGGACTGGACGTGGCTCTAAGGAGGTATAACCTGTCTCGTTCAGTCACACGAGGTCTCATTTCCAGATGTGGCCCTCTGCAGAGTTTGGATTGAAACTGCTGATGGTTTTAGACAGCTTGTTGAGGTCTTTGATGGTCATCCCATGTGCAGCTCCAAGGTCTGCTTGGATGGGAGGTATTCTTTCGTTGGCAGGAAAGGGTTGTGTGGCGAAGGCAGGTGAGGTTTTGGGTTGTGGCCCTTCGCGCCTTTCGTCATATGCCAGTTCTTGGATATGGGACTCTGCTCTGCTCAGCAGTGGTGAGGCTGAGAGATGCTTCTCTTTTCTTGGCTCTTGTTTCAGCTCATAAGCATCTTTGAGTTCTTTTCTGACCATGTAGAGCTCATCGTTGGTATCGTCTAGTTGTTGGGTCAGATTGTCCATTTCAGTTCTATACCTTTCAAGGTGGTCTTTCAAGGTACTGATTTCAAAATTCTTGTTTCTGATGTCATTCTTGGCTTTCTCTAGTAGCTGTTCAGCATACTGGAATTTAACATTATTCAAATAGCAGCTTTATGCTGCAGTTAGGGGAAACAGTGATAACGATCTCAGCAGATCTTTAAATCTCTGTGCCAGTTCCTCTGGACACGTAAACAACAGGTTTTCTTCGCCGTTGGTGCAAAGTTAATATTCACTTACACGCAGTGTTAAGTGAAATTAAATTTACTTTGTGAACAGACACAGGCAGGCAAGCATTATTCTCGTAAAGTTTAACTCAGGGAGTCGAATAACATGGCATGACAATGGGACACGCATTGGCAAATCAAACTATGAATAATAAGGCTTTGATAAATAGATTGAGGAACACACTCAAAACTATTCTTTATCCACCGATTTATTTCCCTTTTAACTACTGCAGTTTAGCTCCGTTCAGCTAACGGTGACTGAGATTCAGGGAGTATAGCGATTGAAAAACACTGGAACACGCAATGAAATCAATTCAGCTATAAAACAAGGCATTACAAGATTGAGGAACACGCTTGATTTCTACCTTATTGTATTATCTCAGATGTTAACCTCAAGTTACACTTACTGCAGTTTAATAATGAAGAGGCGGACTCGAGTTACAGCCTTCTCTGCATTCATTCAAGCGGTCGCGCGCTGCTTACGTCACACACGCAACACACACACACACCAGAAACTTCTCATCTTTCATCCGCAGCAATGAAAATATGAAATAACTTTGTTTATGCTCACAATTTAGGTTAATCTGCCCCGGATTCTCCACCATTAAATGTAAGGGAAACAGGTCAATTTAGCTCAAAGGGAATCATTTAAGATTTTAAAGGGAACTCCACCATTAATATGTAAGGGAATTAGGACAGAATCACTGTTTTACGGCTGATCACTGAGACGGCCAGCGATTCAGTGAACGAGCCGTATGACATCAATTCTGCAATGTAAAACAAGGCATTACAAGATTGAGGAACACGCTTGATTTCTACCTTATTGTATTATCTCAGATGTTAACCTCAAGTTACACTTACTGCAGTTTAATAATGAAGAGGCGGACTCGAGTTACAGCCT